TTTGGTTTTTGCGTCCGTTATTACTAAGCGTTTCTGAAACTCAAAGGAACAGCGTGGGCCCGAGCGTAGCGAGAGCTGGGCATTAACGGTTTATGAGACGAGACTGACATGGCCATTATCAGAACGGCTCTCCGTCGTATTTGAGAATGGCAGTGACATACTATCAAACTGATCTAATTTTTTCTGAATTTCACTTACTTGCCTCTGCATATCTTTCAAAAGGAGGTTTAGTTTACAGAACTCAGAGTTCTCTAACGGAAAATCTTTCACCTGTATCACAGGAGTGAGATCTGCACTCAAACCATTTTGAGAGCTAGTAGTTGATACTGTATTACCAGGCGGTAATGCAGTTATAACCGAATTTGAGCCACTATCTAAAACAATTGTGTTTCTACGAACACGTTTTTTAGAGATTTGGACCATAATTTCAAGAATTATATGACAATAAGCAGTAAATAAATTTCAGAGCAAACACGTGTAAAAATGTCACCAATTTCGAACGTACCGCCAGGAGATTTTTGGCTTTACAGGTCAACAACCATACGTAGTAGGTTTTCGTGGAATCGCTTTCCATTTGGGGGTGACACTCACTGCGAATAGATAAGGGGATAGTCAGTGATCACACCTTATCTTGATTTTCGGTTTTAATTTCACTTTCGAAAATCTACGGTATTCTCCCTTTTAACACCTTGATTTATTTAATTCGACATATTTTTCAATGTCTTCCTATCGTGACTGACACCTTGTTGCACTCATTCCTTGAACGCCTGCTATTTCATTACCCCGCGGAAATTTATACGTATTTCGAACTATTTTTTAAGGTGTGAAACTATCTATTTTCTCGCGGTTCCCATTGTCACTAAAGAATCACATACGTATAATTGTAAAGCCTGACGATAAATCCATCTCTTCGGCTGATCAATTGCTTTGATTATTACGTTCACTTTTAGCCGAGAAAAACTTCCAATGAATCATAAGAGTTTAAAATAACAGCATCAGCATTACTTTGCATCACTTCAAGCTTTATTAGGAAACCTCAAACGATATTAGTACAAAACTTAGTCATTGTGGTAGAGTATAACTCCATAATTTATAAGATTTTATTTTGATAAGTCACAAAGTGTTACACAGTAATATTAACTGATGACGTTTCGAGCACAAATTATTGCTCATAACCATATCAAGTTACTCCAAACGATGGTGAAACAAGTAAACTAACTTAATGACCGTAATAAAACAACCCGATCGACCCAGTGAAAAGATAGAAATATAGATGAAATTCACGAATTACGATTTAGAACCCCAAAGTAGGTTGCATTTGAGTACTGTCGGGACAACAGGCTTATGCGAAATTTGTAGGCGGTGAGGAGTAAGGTTTCTACAGAGGTATGCAGCAGCTGTTGATGGATATGTGTAAAGATGTCAAGCCTCTGCTTACAGGAAATCTGTCCGACAAAATGTGTTTGCTATTTCATGTTAATGGGTGCTATCGAGCAGTGATTGTTACATAAAGCGGAATGCTGTGTCGTTATCCATATGAATTTATGCACAGAAATACGTCTGGACAATCACTGAAGGCAACAACAATAAATCAGGAGGTTTTGCTGGGATAAACACGAGAAAGTTGCCCTTAACAGCTACTTTTAACGCTTGCTTTGGCGCCTAAACGAGTCTTTTAAATTACGTGATTTACTACGGGCTCACCTGGTTGATTGGTCAAGGTATTCATACCCCTTTACTTGGGTCGACAAATGTTGGAGTTACCCAATATCGTTTTGTCTAGAGATTGCTTCATTACTCCGCGATGGTTTTCTTACTTTGTCTTCAAAAAGTGGTTTGAAGCCTCTCGAAAATATGCGTGAGAGCAGGCGAAGGTTCATGAAACTCTCTGATGGATAAGACAAAATGAAGTGCAGAAAAAATGATAAACTTGGATTCGTGAAAAAATTCGGTGGTTCAGCGATATAAGCAGGACATCGGAACATATGGAAAGAGGAAGCAACTGTTGGTATTCATGAAAACTACAGAAAAAAGCAGTTTTGGAACTTAAGTGCCGGCCTTCAGAATGAGCCTGCCTGTAAAGCGACACTAAAGAAATCAAGTTTTCTCACAAGTGGCTGCCGCCATTTTAGGAATCAAATTGTTGCTGGTCAGCAGTACAGAGATAACCAGAATCACTTAAACAAGTGAATCATGTCTTTGCATTAGACAATCTTACTTTTAGCAACCTATGCAAGATGGCTCACCAGAGAAAAAGCAGCCAAGTGTGGACCAGTTTGTTTTCAAATTGAGTAATCTGTTTCCGGAGTGTTTTTCCATTAGTTGAGGCCACTGTGCTGTCAGCATAAAGCTATAAGCGAGGAATAAATCATCACGCAGCAAGAAACGGACTGTGTACAACCGAACAAATTTGAATGTAACTACTATGTACTTCGCCCTTCTGTTCAATCTCTTTTCGCCTGTTTTATCGTTTTCACCTTATTTTTCTTCCCGATAAATCGTGATCCATATATACACTACTAATAATATCATCTTTCATTCCAATCTCATTCTTTGCGTGAGTGCCACGGCCTTGGAACACGTCGAAAAAAACGGCCTACAAACACAACTATTTCCACCTGAAACTTCAGGGCCTGCGAAAGTTCCGGAGGGCTATTTGCGCAAACAAATAGGTAAGAAACTAAAGTAAATGAGGAATCATTACCTCCCCACGAAAAAACGAAAACAATTAACCAATTTCTATGCTATGTATAAAACTTAGGCACTCGTGAAACAATAGGCGGTGTAGGCTAAATACAAAAATGAAGACATATCTCATTTATTTAGCTGAATGATTCTTATTATAAGTAAGATATCCTCCTTAAGCCTCTATCTTGAGTCTGAGACGTAATTTGTTTAACTTCATCAAATGTTTTCATGAATGCACTCACAAAAGCTTCGGTAATTTGAAGTGTGTCATTTTCATTGCAATTTTTGTTGAGAATTTTCTTGTATGTCATCTGGATTTTTTCATTCCCTCCAATCTTTTTATTTTCTTAGCAACTGATTTTGTCATTAAACTCAGTAACGGATTGTTTGTTAACATGTCAGAAACGATCAAGCGTTCCCGACATAAATACTTTTTCCATTCAATAAATAGTTAGCTAATATCCACGGGACTATGTATTACTTGTCTACTGTTTTCTCCGATACTAGGTGTATTTCACTGATTCATATGAAATCCCAGAAAAGATCTTAGTATCTGATTCAACAATTAGTTTGTAATTTCACATAAGCGAGTAAATTTTTTTTTAATAAAGAAGTTTTATCAATGCTAACACCTAAATCCAAAGACTTTCAAGTGATCTGCCCATTGTTTGGATTTTTTAGCTAGTAGAGAACAACCGTTTCACTAGAGACAAATGCAGCTAATTCTTAATTAATATCTTTACCAAGCACTCATTACTTATAGTCCGCACTTTTTGGAAAGAAAATTTATGACTTTGTTTTTATTTTGGGTTCTTTGCTTTTATGGGCACTTGAACCAGGCCAATGGACAAATTTACTTAACATTTTGCGGTGTTCCTTCCCGAAGTGATTTTGATCTTGGGACAGTCTATAATTCACAATTATAAGATTAAGGAATCTCTTATCGTAAAATTCCTGGAATAGACTATTTTTATAAATTATCATCTGCTTCTCCATGCTTTCATAGTGCCATCTCCTCCTTTACAATTATAACGTGATATTTTTCCTCCCGACTGTATTTCTCAGTTTTAGTATGCCGATATCTTAGGAAATTGATTTTCAGAGATAACTGGTTGCTTGAATTCACTCTCGACTCTAGTTTAAAATCTTCTCGAAAGTAAAATTATTTTTCAAGTATAGTGACATTCACGTCACTATAGCGTATAAGGAAAGGTTTTTGTAAAACCCACAACAATTAAAATATCAACTCTGTTTACTATGGCAGTACTTTCATGATATAGAAATAAAAACTTCATGCTATGGACCGTTTTCCATACAATATTAACATGTAAAATAATAAAGTAATTCCAGGATAGAAGTTTTAAATCCGAATTTCTGCTGCTTAATGCAACCTGCTTTTAAAACAAATTAAAAGAGATGACATTTCTCGTTGATTCATCAGGCACAACCTCGTGCTTGAGTCCCCATTTTTGGGATATTTACTATTGCCATACAACATTTACTATAGCTGCAAATAAGAAATGTTCGACGAATTCTCGTTTTACAGTTAGATTACTTGTTTTGACAGTGCCTCTTGGATGTATTTGTGAAAACTTATAAGTCAAAGTCATCCGGTAAATACAAGCGCTAGTGAAAGAATTTTAAAAGCCCGGTAGATCGCTAATCAAAAAGTTGCAAGAAATACGCTTGATAGGATTTAGCACACTTCAAGCGGTTAGGTTATTTACCCTTAATAGTATAGTAATTTTGAGGAACAATGTTTCAAGTCCTGATCATTTCTACTTTATTTAACTTTTAGAGGGTGCATTTTTATGAGACTGCGCAAAATATAGTGAAGTATGTATACATATATATACTTTACTGGATTACTGAGTTTAGCTTAGTGCACAGATGCAATTTCATTTTGCTTTCGTTATTTATCTCAAATGGAATAGCTCAGCAACATATGCAGCCTTCCTCAAAGAGACTTTTATCACTAAAATTGTGAACTTGAATGAATGATCTTTATTTAATTTCTTTTATCAGACAGACTTGTGGCTTTATCTTCTTGCTAAAAATACTTGTTTCAGTAGATTTTTCTCACTTTCACTGACAATAAAACACCTATATTGCCATCACTGTACTAACTGTTTTTTTTTCAGTCAGTGATAGGTTTTTAGAAGAAAGAAATACCAGGTTATTAATGTGCTTGTTTAAATCACATATGTGGCAACACCTTTCTGCACGACAGACTTGCATTCTCTTACTAAACTGACAAAAACCAAACACCATAACCTTCTGATTCATAAATACTTTCTGTTTCAGGTTTTAAAATGAGAAAAATTAATCTACTGCGAATATTGATTCTGGTTTATTTATGCCAAAGATCGGAAACATTTTTCCACATTAATACAAAAACCCTATGTTCTAATCCTGACCAAATTTCAATTATCGGCGGGGAGCAAAGACGCTTGGTTACTGAAGGTGGTCGTGTCACACTCATATGCTGTGTTCCGGGTAAAAGCAGTGGTCATGATCATGAACAGCTTATATGGAATGGACCAGATGGCAAAGAATTAGTGAATTACTTTTCTACTCCAATATCTGATAGTCAGCATATTGCATATTCTGTGCCAGATTTCCATTCAAAAGACCATCTGGTGAGTTATACATAGTTTCACACAATCATCCTTTTTCCATTAGTTTGTCTTTTGCGTATGGTAGACAAAACTAATCTTGATGAAAAATACAGTACAACAAAGAGGCTCTTTTCCGCGAATTCATTTTCTTTAGCTGTACAATGGCATTTGTATACAATTTTTCATGAGAGAGAGAGCAGAAGTGATGAGTTGTCATAGATATAGTTGTTAATATTAGTCAATACGCAAAAGAAATTTAATGAGAGCACTACGGTTACGTAATAGGATGAATAATTTACTGAGTGAGTTGTAATCACGATGCATGTGGAAATGGAGAGAAATATGGAATTATGTAACAGTTGTGAAGAAATACAAGATTTATAAGGGGTTAGGAAAGTAGGCGCACTAACATCAAGTAAGTAGAAATCAGTAAAGTTGTTACCACGATAGTAGGGGTTGTTGAATAATTTTCTTTTGTATGCATAACTCTGGTTTTTCTAACTGAATGATTAAGGCTTTCAGCAGTGCAAAGGAGACAAAAGTGTATTGTTTTCGACAGCTAGTTTTTCTTTACCTTGTGGATTACTTTGACAGAGGCGTTTGTTGTGTTAGAATGACCGGTTTTAACAAGGTATTTGATTGTCGCAATCCTTATAGAGCCACCACCTTTCCGCAGACACGGCGGATAGTGTTTTCGAACCCTTTTAGACAAGGTACCCGTCGAAAGACTGGTGTACCTGGCTCCACAGGAACAAGTGAACGGATACATGCGCATAGAAGGGATCATATTCGAGGTCTTGGCCTTTAGTCTTATACGAACCAGTGAACTACTAGAGAACACCACTCTTAGCGTTTCTACAAAGAATGTTTTCAAAGATGCTGAAATATTTCTCTTAATAACATCACTGGTTAAGTCTCCTTTGAGACCCAGGTTCACGTAAAGTTTTTTTGAACAAGCAATGTTTTGTTCCTCTGAACTTTTGGTTTGATAATGTTGTCCGTGAATCTTGGTGACTTTGGATGAAGGTTTCTTTCAGAAAATCTAGTTCTGCTTCCAGGGAATCAGGGCTAAAGATCTTAACAATAAACCAAAGTTTCCAGAAAGATTTTCATGTTATTGGTCACAATCTTCTACTAATAATTTTAAGCAGCGATGAACATAGAGAATGAGTTTGTATAATAAGGTTTGAATATTGATATTTCTCTTTATGTAAGCAAAACAGATACAATTCCTAACATATGAGTAAAGTGTGATTATGACAGAATTCAGAATTAGTGCTCACTGGCTTTAATATTTTCTCACTAATATATCATCACCATAATTTTTGATGGCGGGCATGAATTCATGAGGACATTTGCAAATATATTCTTGTTTCTGAACCTATCATTCCCTTTCTATTGTTTAGATAACTATGATGGTTATTCAGCAATTTCAAGCTGATGACAGTGGCCAATATACGTGCCGAAATGCACACCCTAATTCAATGGCTCTTCCAGCTAGTGTAACTATCAATGTTAGACCTCGTCTTTTAGCTGAATTCGTACCACTGCCACCAACTACTCCAGAAGATTCAGAATCGGCAGTTGTGGCTGGCGTTGCAGTCTCTGTCGCTCTCGAAGAAGGCCGACGAGGTGAAATTGTATGCCGCATTAACCCAAATTTGAACGTCGATGATGTCCAGATCACCTGGTTTTTCCAGGGTCGACAACTAGTTGCTCCTTCAATCGTTATGAAGCAAACAGAGCAAAAGGGTTTATACAAACTGGATAACTTCAGTAATAAAAACCAACTCCCAGGAGTAGAAAATTCTGAAATGTTTCTTTTACCCTCACAAGAAAAAAGCTATAGTATGAGGCCAAATCGACCATATGTTGAACAGTTAAACCGTCCCATCGCCTTGGATCCAGGTGAATTAGGAATACATATTAAAGAAAATGGGCAGGTAAGTTTTATTGGATGTTAACATTTTGTTCCCTTAATTCGGAATGCTTCGATTGAAATGACTTTGTTAGTCCATCGAATTAATTATTTCTTGGATTAGGCCCAAAGTTTTTAAAATCATTTTTCCCTCACTCTTAACGAAGGGAAAACACACATGACCTGTTAGTATCAGACAGAGATAGGCAGTCAAAATGTGTTACTTAAAGAACATACAAACAAGCAAAGATTGGATGAATGTCAATCACTAATGTCATCATCCCAAGAAGCTAACAAATTTCACAATTAGCAGGTTTTCATGCTAACATTGTATTACTTACAGTTAGAAAGTAGATTAACTATATTTGTTATTTCTTTGTGGTTATTTCAAACTATACAGGTCTACTTTAATTTTTTCTCATACTGAACTTTCAGTCTGGTAATGAGGTCTAATGTAAGACACAGTGCTTCAGTCTTTAATTTATGTAGCCTAACAGAAGGTTGGTTCTTGAAACTGGGTGAATATTTTGACTACCATTAGGTTTTGATTTCCTTCATAATAATGTTTTTCATCAAGGATGACTATTATAGACAACATTAGATATCTTTTTACATATATATATATATATTTTTTCCTTCACGTTCCCAGTGGAACATAGGGCTTCAAGCTAGTGGCTTGAAGTTTCTGTAGCAGTGTTTGTTTTACAGGATAGGGTTGCTAGCCTCATTCCCAACCTTTCCTCTTTACCAGCATTATTTTCGGCTTAGCGAGGTAAAGGAGTGAGTCGGCCAGGAGTCGAACCCTGGACCATGTGCATGGTCGATAAGCGTCCTAACCGCTGTGCCACCGACGCATTGGAGTTGTTAACCTCATGCCGAATGTTCTCTCTTTTCTGGGCTCAATCAACAGTTGCTGACTTCATATGGTGGTCGGTCAAGAATAGCTTGATGACCCAACAAGATGCAAAAGTTGGGGCTAATGTTTCATAGGTTCTACCATAGGGTTAGATCAAAAGCAGTTACCACCACAGATTGTAATCAATAACTGACCCTACTGCACACATACATACACATACAGGCTTATAGTCATGTCATAGTGACTACACGTTTTCTTTAGAAACGATAGTTTATTTTGTCATAGTATTTATATTCAACTCAATCACTCCGCGTTCCATTCAGAAGTGATATCATCAACATAACTATCACTGTAATTCATAGAATTATTATTAATATAACCAATAACCGAAATTAATATTAGAAGACAATGAAAAGTATTTTAATTCAGTCTTTAATGATACATTAAAGTCTAGAAAAAATAATTGATAATAATAATAACACTCATTAGAAATAGATGAAAAATAATTTTGAAAAGTCATTTACATATATACTAATAGCCATTTGAATTTTTCATTTGAAAATTACACAATCCGGATTGCCTTTGAAATATGCCATCTGTTTCACACAAAGAACAGTAATCAAGAAAGCAAGCGAAATAGCGTAATGGTAATATAGTACTGATGGATATGAGTGGTTGAAAACACTGGAGAGTAGTGCTCACTAGTCCGATAGGTATTATATGACCTAGTGAATCGATGATGTACATAGTTTGTAGTTGGTGAATGTTAGTAAAAGCAGTAATACTTCTTTACAGCTTTTTTCAAAACTAATCTGCCATCTTTTTATCTATGTCGTTACAGTAAAGTAAATAAAAAATCTATGATGATCCACTTACTGCTTCTTAGTGTGTGCATGAGGAACAATAAAGTTACAAATAAACAAGAAAATCCAAGGTAGTGTATGCGCAAAACTCTGATACTGCAGAAGCACTGCGTTCTGCATTAATTTATTTATTGGATATATATATATATATATATATATATCACTGGATAATGTCTCGAAGACAATACACAATATATGCAGTAAAAAAAATTACTATGGAAATCTGCGCTAGGATTACCAAGAAATCATGAATGAAGGAAAAGCCTGTGTATTTGTGGTAAAAGGATATTTTTAAGTTAAAGACTTAAATAAGGTAGAAATCAGTCCTTCACGCTTTCTATGTACCCTTTTATCGTTTCTTATGATTTTGGCAACTCATCTCAAATTTGCTTAATCTAATCGCTAAGTTTAGAATCTTTAAAATAAACCAAGACATATTCTTAAAATTTAACTCAGTGCATAAGGCTATTCAATCCATTTTCTTGTACTCATGTTGATGAAATAGGGTGAAAGTAATTTTTCAAGTTGGGAGTCGGATATCAGGACATAATGAGTCACTGTTACGGTCTGTTAACAGAATAATGATATTTAGTGGAATTTCTTTATCACGTAACCTTTTAAGAATTATAATCAACTCTACATTATGAGCACTGATGCTTTTAGAAGGATAGACTGCATTCATAAGAATGAAAATTATTCAGGTAGCGCAAAACTATTTCAATAAAACTACTTATAAATATAGTGATATAAGGTCCCTAATGTTCGGCAGAACTAGGTGTAAATATTGAATAAGTAGTTCTTTGGTTGTTGTTCTTGTTCTTCTTTTTATGATTACTATTATTATTATCATAGTGTTGACTTGATTTTCCTAAGACGCATCTTTTTGTTGAGGTAAATGTCAATTTCACCCCAAGGGTTTACCCCACCTAGTTATCTACTTGCCTAATTTTTACTAGACAATTCCACAAATTTCTAAAGCATGACATAAACAAGCATGAGAAGATAAATAATGCAAGCTAATAGAATTCATATTCTCAAACCCTGGTTTCAATTTAACTAGCCAATCCAGTCTTTCGCTGTTAGCTTAAATAGAGTAGGTCATTGGAAAATATCGATCAAACCTCTTGTTTTGCCTGCATGTCTGCCTCACTAAGGAAGGTCAGTAGTTATGAAAATGAGCTCTCAGAAAAAATGCATCGTCACGTGCATGGAAACTTTAGTGTATTAGACCAAACTCTGTCCCACTTCAATTTTTTTCCATCCCACACATTTCTCATAAGCCTAGCAAGAATGCCAATTTTTTGCATTCTGTAAACAGTGAAATAATACAAGGAAAATTTTTTTATTAATCAAAATGGGTGGTTGTTCACATGGAGCTTTGATGCTTCATTGGTAAAATAAGTCGATACAGAAATTCCTCTTCGAAAAATTAAAAAAAATAAGATAACAGTTCCTGAAAACGAAATGACCCTAAGACACAAATGTTGTTGTTGTTATTATTATTATTATTAGTGTTTTCGTTTTGTCAAGAAAACACAGTAGAAACTAGTTGTTGGGATGATGTCTCACTATGATTACTTTTGAAAATCCTGGTAACAAATGTTTGGCTAAATGTTTTCGAAAACATCCGAATTCTGTTTAAGTTCTAACCTAAATAACTGCAGATAAAGAATAATGAGAATACTAAAATAAACTATGCAAGATGAGATTGAAGTATTTTAAACCACTGAGGTTTTTTAACCAAGAAAATAGTCACCTAAATAAAATATTTCAACATTAAAACTAATGTGAAAGCGCAAACATTAAATGAAGTTAAGAACACAGGTTGACTTCAACAGAATCAGCTAGAGTGTTTACATGTACAAGTGTATTTGTGTAGGCCAGAAACTGATTTCCAAAGCCAAATGATCACCTGTAGCAAATTATTCCAATGAGATATATTACTTTAAAATGCATTCTTCTTGAATAATGAAGGAAAAGAACAAAGCACTTCACAAACAGAAATCAAACATAAAAAGCTTGGTAGTAAAGCATTGATTAAATTTAACCCGTCCGAAATCCCCGTGAAAGTTAAAGTTTCCCCTTCCCTTCCGCCTGAGTGATTCTGAAGCTCTCCAACTTGTAATATTTCAAAACCCAATTAAATATAACTAGTATCATGGCATGCAGTCTCTAAGGTAGATTAAGTGTCAAGACTATTCAGCCATTTTCATCATAAATAGCTGATTTATTACAATCATTCAGGATACCAAGATCTGTGTAATTATTGATGACACTCATTTATCTTTGGTTGCTTCCTAACCTCTTTGCTTTATAATGATATCTCAGGGGATTATTGTGTTTGATCGGCTAAAACACATTCGTTCTGTAGCTCCAATTTAATATGTAACAAAACTATACACACTATAAGTCCTTCTTCTTAAAAACTCAAGAACTTATGTTCTTGTTCATATCAGTCAAATTTTTTAATTGAGGATTATTTAACTAAATGTTGCTTATATGCCCACCAAATATTTGTATGTGTATCAGTTCACTCAGTTGTTCTAGTATCATTACCTTTGTGATTTGAATTATATATCAAAACTAGTTTTATGTGTTATCATTACAAATACTCGTAGGTGCTAGAAATTTCACGGGTGGATACGCGTCATTCGGGAATATTCTTATGCAAAGCTGAAACCAGCAATCCAACGTGGTCGCCTAAAAATTCGGAATATGATTCAAGTCTCTATGAAAGTGGGGTTGTAACCGCACCTTTCTTTATACAAATTCAAGCCATTCGCGGTATAGTATATTCACGTCCACGTTTACTACCTGGCAGTCCAATGGAGATATTTACATCAACTGATTCAGATGATCCACAGTTGGTACGTCCATATAAGCGTTTCATTAACAAGCGCCAAGGGGAACAAGGTGGAGAAGTATTTCAAGGTTCACCAAATTATCTACAAAGAGTTCAACCTTTATGGCATGAAGCTGAAAAGATAAAAGATAAACCTATCTCGCCAAGTGCAAGAAAGATAGTTCAAGAAGGTGGGAAACTTACTCTCGAATGTCAAGCTCGGGGGAGGCCTAGTCCTCAACTTCTGTGGTACAGAGGTGGTATGGGATCTTCAGCAATATCACCAAGCTCACAAGCTGTAACTTTCGATCAACGAATTAGGTCGGCATTACAACATTTACCTCTAGAGGACGTGCAAAGAGAGCTTGGAATACTTATAGCTGACTTCGATCATCTATTACCTGCTGTTATGAACTTAGAAAACCAATCCAATGAAGGTGTTTCTAAAGCACCTGGTGATCTCAGTGGTAGTTACAGAAAGGGAACTCAGAATTATGAATTAGGTCGTTTTCAGTTGTCCACTGGTCTTCGAAAAGATGACAGAGGCGATCCGGTCATAGCAATGTCACGCTTAACAATAAACAACTTAATGCCTTCAGATGCCACTCGATATACTTGTCTGGCTCTTTTGAATTTAAACCAATACGGTGGGAATGGTAACTTCACAGACGTTGGAAGGTTAGTAAAGTTTTAATTATTTCTCAGTAACAAATAATCTTTTTTTATTCATTCACTAGAGTAGATTATCATGTCACTTATTATTAGTTAGTTATATAACAGTGAAACAGTTTTACTTACTGGATAACGTATTGAACGCCATTTGTTGTTCATAATCATATCAAATTTAACTTCATAACTTTAAAACTTGGTCTTTATAGTTCTAACTCCTCTTCTCAGTTTTTCACAGAAGAAGTGGAGTCTTCTTGATATCTGCGTCAAGTTCAACGTTATCACTATTGACTTCATCCTAAGTTTATTCTGTAGGCAAAGAGAGCGGTATAATACTACTGACAATGGTTGAGTAATCTTTTGGTAGTCCTATTCCCAAACGAATTTCAGCTCATCCAATCAAAGCCTAAGACTTGAATTCAGTGACTATCATTTGTGTATCTTTACCAAAAAAAGAGAGTTGGCCCGTCAGCTCCGAGTGTCTATGCGTTTGAATATGTCCAACAAGAAAAAGTGATGAGTAATTCACCTGTTTTTTGGGATAGCATAAACCTTGGGCACTGAGGTAGAGTATAACTCCATTATGGATAAGACTTTATTTTGATAAATCACACAGTTTGTGCTCGAAACGTCATCAGTTAATATTACTGTATAACACTGTGATTTATCAAAATAAAATCTTAACTATAATGGAGTTTTTTCAGATAGATCTGCATATAAAAGTTATTGTTATCTTACCCTTTATGCTTAATGATTCATATTGCCGCTTTTACTAATGAGATGTTAGATCGCTTTTTACAGAACAATGAAAATTTAGATAACTGTATCTTGGTTACCTTTGTCAGACACATCCTTTTTGCTGGCACACTTTATAGAAATTAATTTTCATAACTTTCCTTGAATTCTCTAGAGTACATAAGCGTTTTGATTATTTGATTGAAACTGTTCCATCGATTTCCATATACATCATACTGAAGTTCTACCAGTATACAAGCATTATATTTACTAAGTATTTGATGGCCGTCGTTTTAGATTATCACATTCAGAGGGCCTGGGAAGAGCACATATTTAAAGCACACGTCAAAATTGTATAACAGTATCCCCAGTCATCGAACAAAATATCGTTATTCAAGTGTTGGTTTGTAGGGATTTGATTGGTTACGGGATTTTCATCATGAGTATACGAGCTCGCCTTGTAACCAGAAGGTCCTGGGTTCGAATCCCGGTGGGTGCGTACTGTGAAGAGTCCCAAACTAGGACGAAACAGCTGTCCAGTACTCCCATGTTTCCCAGTGGTTCTCTAACTAATGTCAGCTCATGATGAAAAATATCGTTATTTATTGTTTAAAGGAGCCGCTCAGTTAACAGACTACTTAAGATGAAAAAAACGAATTCCTATATTTCTCATTTGATTAATCCAACAAAAACTGTACTGGGATTATTCCTTATCGACACGTGAACTTCGCTTCCTGATGAGTTTAGACTTGATTTGATGACTGGATTGATGTAGTATGCCCTGATGAATATTCTAACTAAATCTCAGAAAGTAGTGAAACCATCCGAGAAACTAAGCAGTTTACAGTAGTCAACAGCCTTTTTTTACTCAACACTTTCTTACCAGAAGATTCTGTTTTCTTTGGAAAGCCTAATTTCAATGATTATTAGAGCGGTAAAACATTTTTTAAATAGCTCTTGCGAAAGGAGCTAGGGCAAGGTGTGAGGCACAACAATGTATAACTCCGCTTTTATTCGCCGACATTTATTGCTGCTTCCCAGTACTCATGAATTTGCACATATATGCCCATAGTCAATGTATAGGCTATCCATAGTTGTTTTCCGCAAATATAATTATGATTTGTTGTATAAAGACTATTACTACTTTGATTTGACACTAGTAGGTAGTATGATTCGTCTAGTCCTCTGATTGGTGTAGACTGAATTCTATTAGTCAGATTGTAATGTGACCGCCATTCTAGCTAGCTCACCAAATCGTGTTAACCATTTGTTAGGGTTGATTTTCATTACATAAAACAATATAAATGGCAAAATTATTTTGATGAAAAGTAAAATTCTACTGCACTTAACCTTCAAAGGCAACTTAGCCCACCAATTATTTTTTTAGTTCAGTTTAGTGTCATGACACTAAGATCATTATTCACTCAAATTACAGCCAGCTGTTCAATTTATTTTTTCCCAATAAAATTACTACTGGAATCAGTCTCAAAGAGGCACTTTTAAATTACTAAGCTACTCAGAATAAATTTCAGTTGTCCTATTTATCTTTAAATAAAATTATGAATTGCTGTAGACGTAATTGTCATTCATGTTTACCTCCATAAGTATTATGGTATGTTTGGAACTTCCATATTACATGTGAATAAATTGTTATTGTTGACGACACGTTGGATGACATTTCGAACACAGTCTAATCACATAAGTTGCAATATCTGTCTCTTGTAGTTCACGTTTTCCCTCTGATTTCTGTGGTGGGAGAATTATTCCTGGCCCTGAAATCTGTTTTCTACCAACTGTGAGTATCTACTAAATGTGAACTATCAGTGAAAACAAAGAATAAAGTTACTGGGCTGTAAATAACCAAATGTCAACATTTGTATGAGTGAAGTGGTGGTGCGCTTGGAAAATCAGGCAGTAAATATTAGTGAATTAATGTTTACCTCATGCAATAAAATCAGTGGTGCTTAGGCTTTTTCTTATACTTAAATTACTCTTGCAGTCAGGAGATAAGTGAACTGTTTTTGACTTTAGGGTTAATAGACTGTATGAAAAGGGGTTTCTGATGAGGCACAGACGTCCTCCATTTAAGCTACCTAGGCTAAAATTGCCGTTCTGTTTCTCTTTAAGTATCTGGTGACTGAGTCCCGATGATTAATCTCTCAAAGGTTTTTAGTGAGACAATCACCCTTTGATGTGTGCTGCAATACAGATGTACACCATAGGAGTACGTTTCATATAATGCCAGGAGTTTGTTACTGATGATCTTGATAAATGTTGATTAGAAGTAGTATAAATAGCACAGATGCCTCTATTTTTTCATTTGCTTTAAACCTCCATTTCTCTGTCGTCCAATCACCGTTTCTTTTACAGAGATTTTATCAGTTTCATGGATTCATCATGGACTGAGCTTGGTTAGAGGACCACTGGAAAGTCTGAAAGTATTGAAAACTTTGAGACTCTTCATCAGTATGCACCCACCGGGGCTAGAACCTGGATACAAAGTGAGCTCGTAGACCATTAAGCCACTGGAATCTGATCCAGTGGCCAGCCCGTATATTCCAACTTTTGCGGTTCCTTTTGTTTATATCTAATATTTTAAGAGTCTTATTTAAGTGTGTCAAATAAAACTAGATGTACAACATCATGATATTTTTGTTCTTTTTCATTTGATTGTAGTATTCTTCCAGACGTCGTTTTGAAACCACGATTCGTCCGGTCAGGCACTCGCTTAAGAGCCAGCGGATATCCTGGAGAAAATTGCAGTTTAACATGTGAAGCGTATGGTGGCCTTCCAAATGAAATGGGATTACGTGTCAGACTTCTGAAAGGTCCCGGTGTTACTAAACTCATTTCTTATATGTCTAATTCTATGTATACGGAAAATAAGAATCCCGCAATCAAAACATACGATGGTTTCACTGAATATGAAGCAGGATACTCTTCTATTAATGATAGAAATCGTAACCGGCCTACACTGCTCTCCGAAAACAGTGGTTTGCTTGATTCATCTTCATCCGACGCACAATACATGAGTTCTGTGAGTGGAAAAAGTAAAACTGAAGGATCTAATAGTAATAGTTATATAGAAATTGTGAAACCAGGTGACAATCCTCGATACCATTTGACTGTTGAACCAGATCCACGGAACTCGTATGCAACTATTTTACGTTTAGATATTACAGGTAAATATTTTTAGTTTGTATAGTCTTTTTCATGCATGATTTATGGGCCATGAATATATATTTTCGTTAAATTCACTGGTATTCTGTTGTTTTATAAACACAGACTTTTTCTCCTGAATAAATGTCTGCATTTTCTAATCTAAGTTAATATTTATTTTTTGCTGCTTTATGAGTTCCTTACTTTTCATAATAATTTTTAGAAAAATATATGTGCTTCACATGTTATTAAATTTAATTTGACTGCACGTTCAACACATTCATAATTTCCAAGAGTTGATTTGTAAAGATTTGATTTGTTTTACGAATTAGACCACGGGTTGATATCAGTTACAGAACCATTAAAAACCAGCCATGGAGCACTGGACAGTGTTTCGTCCTAGTCTGGTAATCATCAGCAGTACGCACTGGGGTTCGAACCCAGGGCCTTCCGGTTACAAAGCAACCTCACACACCTTTAAGCCACTGAGACCCGATTCAATGGTCCATGAATCCTAACTTCTACCATTTCAGGATTTTAGTGCAACCACCAACCAGGATGAAACAGCTGTCCAGTACTCCCTGGATGGTTTTCAATGGTTCTCTAACTGATATTGATCCGTGGTCAAATATTTGTAATTACTTTCATCTGACTTTCTGTCTTGAAAGTTGTGTTCAGTTCGTTAACTTCGCTTACAATTTAATTTTACCTTTCTTCATGTTCTCCCATGAAGCTTGACCGCTTATATTGAAATGCGTAAAATGTTATTCTCTTCTACCTAGCATAAATAGATACATGCATTTAGGTTTTGGTCCCTTTAGTATCCTTAATTATATCAGAAAATTTCTTAATAATCATCAAACAGATTTCCAGCCTGTTCGAATTCAATTTGTGGCTATAACAGTGTTAGTAATTTGTATTCAGGTTATACGACTATTCGAAGAAAAGTAAAATTGCAGTATTATGTGAATAACAGTTTGATTAACAAGAAATTGTTGCAATATAGGAGTTTTAGTTTACTAATAATATTCAACAAACCATTAGGCTTAAATATCTTTCAACGACAACACCGTCTTAAGTGTTCATACCTTCTCGTCTGTGATCCCTTCTCCCATACAGTATATTTTCAAAAACTTGTTCTTAACTTAGTCTCAGACAATACTGAATATTAATGGGTAAATTTTTTTAACAACATTCTTTTATCAGCTGTCAAGTTGAATTACTTCACACACTTTTAAACATCTAAGGATAAACTTTTACAGACACATATTGAAGGGAAGGGTAAGTTCAATTGGTGTAATCACTATGTCTAGCTTTCACAATTTCATAAACTTTATCAGTAACAACTAAATTTTGCTGACATTTAAATCATGTGACAAGATATGTGTACTTTAATTTTGTTTAATTTTGGCATTATTTAGATCTGTCACCAGAAGATAACTCGTTTTACTTGTGTGAAGCACTTTCTGGACCTCATTGGCGAGCATTCACTCCAACTTCAGCTGAACCTCCTGGAAGAGTGACTGTTTGGTTTGCACCACCAGCAGCCGAACCTAGACGTGTTACAGAAATATCAGACACCATCGATACAGATGATAATTCCATTCAGAGTGAAACAACCACACAGCAGGGAAAAGATGTTGTTTATGGTTTATCACATTTACCTTCTAAAATAGCCTGCCAGGCACTGGGACAGCCACCACCTCAATGGAAATGGGTAGGTCCACAAAGCGGACCAAATGTACCACTAGGTGAACCAAATAATTCAAGAGGGTAAGTTGTTGTATTGTCAGTTCTGGATAACCGACTGATATATCTGTGTAGAATTCCACACAAAAGTCAATCAGCCTAGTATATTTTATAGGATCACAGAAAAAAAGAAGACAAATATAATATTACCACTGCTAAATACGGGTAGGAAATGAAAGTAAAGATTTTAATGAAGATAAGTGAAAATTATAAAAAGTAAATACAGTCGCTTCGTACATACTTTGTTGTTAGACTTCACATTTACTCCTATTTGCTTCTCCAACTAGTCTAGTCTTCTTAATTGTACACTGAAGTCACCTGATCACATGACTATAGCTACAGCTTTACTTATAAGGCGAAATACATATCTTCTGAATGAGATTAAACTAATAGGCTTCACTTTAACAATCAGTTTTCTTCCGTAGATCTTAATGTCATCCCCACAACAGAAACTTTCACTTTAGGCAGCTATCGAATTTCCTGACACATGTAACATGGACTATGCAGGTTCACCATAATAGTCTTGTGTACTGCTACAAGTTGAAGTGTGCATCTTTAACTCAAGATGTCAGCATTCTAGTTAATGAAATTTTTGACATGATAAGGTGTATCTTTAGTAGAGGTTGAGAATGGTGTTTCGTCTAATGAAAACGTTCGCAGCTACCGTATGCTGAAGATAAATGAACAGGACTGTGTGGAAGGTACTATGAACGCTGGGACAAAGCAGTGAACTTTAAGGTTGGGTAAAGAATTAAGAACATAAGTAAATAATGAGTTCCGATGGAAGCATTTATTGTTTTACTTCTTAGCCTTCGAACACTCAGTGAAATCTGATATTTTTTAAATACCTGAAATAGAAAGGTAGTTCTTCTACTATCACTATAGAGCCCATTCAACATCCTCGCGAAGCTTGTTTAGTCAATTTCCTGCATACCAGAAACCTTGTCATTATCTGGAGACATTTGTTAACTAATTCATGATGTACAGTTTTGGAGCCGACGTTCTCTTACCGATCCATCAGAAACTGAGAAATTAACCCAACAAGTTTGTTTTTCTTCTCCCAATGAGAATGCCCTCCTGCTATCATAAGCCTTTCTACCAGCAGTACTATTTCTCTATAAAACTTCAACTGAAGTGCATGCAATTTACATTGTTATGGTACTTACTTTTCGTCTGCCCATCTGACTGACCATCCTGGTATTGGTAGAATATGTATGATTAATCTTTTCAACTAAGATGGTTTGTTATAGCATTATGATCTGCAAGAGAAACTACCAAGTAAATGTAAGGTCTCAGGTGGGCTTCCTTTTCATACAGTATAAATCACTAGGGATTGTTTCATTCTTACATAGCTTCAGTATCGGGCTAATCAACAGATAGATGCAGATAGGATATACTGATATTAATAAATTATTTCCACAGCATGTGGGTTGTTTTAGTAAACTAGAATTATAGGTGATAAACAATGGCTTATTAATTTACAGAAGTACGTCATTTAAAGTGTATTCATCTCTTTATTTTAACTAGCCACATAAAGTGAACTCAGTATAACTATTGTTTTAACTTCAGTTACGTTAAAACAGACTATCAAGATGGCGAGTATTCGGTCAGTGAATTAACTGTTCCAGCTGGTTATTGGAATGTCGGTGTGTTTGGCACATATACATGCACTGCATCTAATAGACTTGGTCATGCAACAGGACATGTTCGACTTCAATTGGCGAGCCATCCAGGCCGACCAACGCTGAGAGCGTGTAAAGTATGTTGAATTCTCGATATATTTTTAATATATGAAATATATTATTAACACGTCGAGGAAATTTTCTGTTTTTTTTCTTAGACAGTTATTGGACATGGAATATCATTGTGAGAAAATAACTGGACAGTTTTATTCGAAGCAGCGACTTGAAGAAAAATTCCCCATTTAGTGTTTAAGCTCCCATCAATTAGCCCTAAAGACTGAAAATAAACATTGACGAATTCTAATCCAGCTACTTTTGTACAGGCTCCGTTGGATAGACAAATCCAATCTAGTTTAAAATTTATAAAAATTATGACTTTAGTGTGTGTTTGTTTGTTTTTGACTGCCATAAATTATGACGAATTCACTCCACAGCTTTAGTGAAAAATAATCACCTAAAAGTTGAAACACTGTCAAGCTGAGGGTGAATTTTTACGTACACATATATCTGTATTCACAGGAGACGCGTGTCTGGTACTGTCGTTTAACAATATGCTGATTTATGGGGAATTAGCAAGTACTAGAAACCAGGAGGATGGACTACTTGCTGTCTCTTCTGACAAAGAAAACAACTTATGAAATAAACCATCTAAAATTCTCCTTCAGTAGTTCGTTATATATATATATATGACAGTATTATCAGATAACAGAATAATCCATTAGGCACCAGTCGACAATTTTAAAAAAGGAGACTGAATTTACAGCATTCATAAAATACTAACAAACATATACTTGTGACCAATCCATCTATATTTGTCTCATGTTGTTGAAAGTCAACTATCAAATAGCTATAGAATGTCTCTAGTATAATTATACTAACTTACTTGTATTTGATGGATAAAAATTTCTACAATGAATTGGACTCGTCTACTAATCCTCCTAAGTATATAGTATGCATCAATATGTATTCTAAATGTATGCTTTATCTTCAATATGTCTAATACACAGTATAACGTCCTCATAATTATTTCTCTGTACTTCGATTGTGGACAACAGTCAACACAATGACAAACTATTTATCTAACTTTTTGCAGTCGGTTACAAATTTCACATGAATCAGCTTCTTCATAGAAAGTAAAGTGACAACAAGAAAAATGAAACTAGAACCGGCAGAGTCGATGAGTCGAAATTTTTTTTATCTGCTCCAATACTTCGTCTAAAATGTTTTCCCAAACAATTACTTCTCACCACCACTTAGTATACTTCATTACAACCGAATACAAATCCTCTGGTCTGTGCAATGAAAGCGTGTGTTGTCTTATAATCACATGTGGATTAGTTAACATCCTGAGTACATCATCAAAATTTATCTCCTGAAAACAATTTATATAAACATGGATATTTATAAGTTTACAGTAAATCAGTTAAGTGGAATATTCCACTTTCTGACAAAAAATACGTAAGTCTCATCATCTTCATTTTCGACTGTAGATTTTCGTTTCGAACATTCACCAACTTTTATGGCATTTTATGAGTTGCGTGATTACCTACAGTAAATTCCTTTAGTATAACAGTTATATGAGTTTTAGAATAATTCAAAAACCGAAATATTTCCTTTAAAACAAAACAGTGCTTATTTTGCAAATTATACTTCTTTATACTTATGCATATATATATATATATATATATATATATATATATATATATATTATATTATTACTACTATATTTCTCAAAATATTCTGATTAGGTTGAGGCAACTTTAATTGAGCTGTGTGTTGAACCCCCAACTGAAACTGGAGGTCTACCACTAACTCACTATGAATTAAGGATTCAAACTCATCCACGTGGCGCTTTCCACGGACCTTTCGCCTATCTTCCTGGTCGCAGAGTGCTAAGGTTACCAAATCTCATCCCTGGTTATTACTACCGATTCGCATTATCTGCTGTCTCAAGCGCAGGTCGTGGGCCAAATGCATATTTACAGGTATTTAAATAAAATTAATCTTATTTTGTGATCACTATATATATATATATATATATATATATATATATATATATATATATATACAAATGAAGTCGTCATCATATAGTGACTTTCCCAGTTTCAATAACTCGGTTAAGATTAGGCAGTCGGAGTATACACGGAAACCATGTTGTGTTTTCTTGTGTTTCTAACTGTCTAGTTTGACAATTAACGGTAGCTTCTTGCACTGACTTCTCTAATACAGGTTATCTGACGTTAAGGATCAAACTGAAGGTATCATCACACTACTAGTGGATAAAATCTCTGGTGTATTTCTAACAGCTTCTTCTGAGACACATTCTAGCCTATGGTCTTTACTTGTTTTTGTGATGACTTAGAAGCTGAATTTGAGCGCATGTTCCATTCATGGAAAGTCTACCGCTAACTCATTCAGACAAGACTTTGTTATTTTGACTCAAAGAGCAGCATAATTTCAAGTCCATACATCTGACTATAGGATTATAATTCGGGTAACTATTAAGCTCCAAGAATCAACTAAAATCCATCAGCCAAGCATGTGGTACAGTCTATAAAATATTTAGTATCACAGTACCAAGCGCTGCGGTGCACACTTTTTGTTGTAATATTAAGTACTAGAATTTTGAGAACCTGCCTGCCTTAATCTTAGCTTCTGATATCAAAACCACTAGTGTTAATATCTTTAAGGTGTATCGAACTTTTTGGTACGTATTCATTGCATATTTTTGTAACCACTAATTGATATTTTCTTAAACAGGTTACAACTAACCAGTTATCTAAACCGGTTATAAAATTACTCGCTTCTCAGAATTATATAAGTCCAACAGGATACAATGTTCACTGGAATGCAGAGACTACAAACGGCATGGACATAAATCAATATAATATAAATATAAGACCAGTTGAAGTTGATTATTCTATGGGTAAGTTTGCAACACGTTTTTTTTCAAAAAATTCTCCTTCTTTTAAGTACTAGAAAGTGAAACAAATTTGTTATAGTCACATCTCTGATGGTCTCTTAGGTCCTTTCATTTATCTTCTTCTTATCTGATTTTTTTTTAATATTCTATTGGATTATTAATGGGGCAATGTGGCCGAGATAGCAAATATTATAGATCATCGTAATTCTTCCTCCAAATTCTAAATTGAAATAATAAATGAGCAAAGAATATCCTTTTAGATAATTTCCTCTTTAGTCGTCATTAATAGTATTGGTGTTTCTAAATAACATCGATTTGTTGAGACCACAATGGAATTACCACAATTCAAGGAAAATGCATAAGTTATAATAAGCATAAAAAGTAATAATAGTGCGTCGGTGGCATAGCGGTTAGGACGCTTGTCGACCATGCACATGGTCCAGGGTTCGACTCCCGGCCGACTCACTCCTTTACCTCGCTAAGCCAAAAATAATGCTGGTAAAGAGGAAAGGTTGGGAATGAGGCTAGCAACCCTATCCTGTAAAACAAACACTGCTACAGAAACTTCAAGCCACTAGCTTGAAGCCCTATGTTCCACTGGGGAACGTGAAGGAAAAAAAATAGAATATCAGATAAAATTAAGGAAATTTCCACAACAAATTGAGGATCATTAGAACCTTGATAGCCAAGGTAAGGACAGTGTCTGAACCAGCTTCTTTTAGATGCATACGTTAGATTTCTTAATGTAGATCCCAACAGCCTCAGCAATATATAGTAGACGAACTCTTAAGGTAACGTTAAGATTAGTCGGTATGCTGTAGATGACTATTAAAGCATCTTCAACACCAACCTTGTGTTCTGTATGCACAAGATGAGACAGAATAGTGCTATGAATAGACTTTTTTTGTCCATTACTTAACCACTTTTCAGGATGGTGTTCGGAAATCCGACGATGAGTACGCCTAATTGTACGACCTATATAACTGACTGCACAGCAGCAGTCATTCCTTCCATACAATAAGCCACATAAAACATTGAAAAGTCCATTTAATCATACGATATCATGATAAGACACCAAACTAAGATGCTTAAACTATTTTTAGATAGAAAAGTGTGTCTTCGAATTAAAAAGTTGTCTGGTGTATGCTAATTCTGTAACTAGGAAATAATATATATGGATATCATTTACATTTTGGAATCTATGGAAACATTATGTTACTAAAAATCTAAAATTCAAAGGAAAGATTCCCGACTACCCTATGAAGTGTTCTTATTTGGGAACAGATAGGTAATATTTCCGCTGAAATTTTAGGAAGTACCTATGTTTTGAAAGGGAATGTTTCTATACCAGTCTAATCTCTACTTTAAATTTCTGCTAGTTTTATTTATAGAGTTAAATAACTTTTCATTTCAGATATTTAAGCTGCATTTTATTTTATTGGAAGTGATGTAAGTAATCAATACTCAAACTTTCTTCGACCACTTAAAGTATAAAGTGAATACAACTTTTGAATAGATCCCCGTCTTCAAGGCCTGTTTAACTTTAATCGTTTTATTTGACTGTCCCGAAAACATCTCTGAAAGTATTTTGTGAAAAACTGTGCAATCTCGCAAATACTTAGTACATTTGTTTTGGTAATTGGATTAGAAATGACTGCTAATGACTGAAAAAGTTACACAGTTTATATTACTTTAAGTGTTTTGACAGATTTATAAGGATTCATTGATGAATCCTTATTACAATTATGTTTAATTCAAAGAAATTCATCTTTGCACTTACAAATCCAAATAACAAAAAAAAAGAAAAATAACTCGCCTTCCTGCCATCACCTTATTTCTGTTTTCTGCATTAGGAATTTCAAAATTATTTAAATAACATTTTTTAATCTGTTTTCCCGTAAATAGAAGAAAGAATTACTTCACCCTAATGAGGTGTTATGATATGAAGTCAGTACGTGTAATCAGTGTGAATTAATTTTTTCTTCTGCAGTGTAATCAAGTCAACAATTATTTTAACTAGCTTAGAAAGTAATAACCTCCAGACTAATTGTCAGTAATGAAAACTATAGATTTCAAGAACTTCTTTTCACTGTAAAACTTTAAGACTGTTTATCTTTCAGTTAGTGCGTTACACTTATGATGCACATCGTATCCACCATCAAAATATGAAGTTAGTGTAGTGTTTTATAAACAAAGTAACTATGTATGGAATCGTGTGAATTGAATAGAGGTCTTAATTTAGCATTCGTTTACATGCTATCAGAATGTCTTAAAGTTAAGCTTCCAAATTCTTAGTACGTTTTATGTAGGAAAGATGTCGATGGTAGTTTCACTGTGGACCAATTAGAAAATCAGGTGGAAAAATATGATTTGGTTAATTTTACTTAGAATGTCATTGGCACTAAGAAATAATAATGAGAACTGGATGCTTAAGAACTATTACAAACACGAAGTCATCCATTATATTTAGGAAAAGTACTAATAACGACTCTAATTTCAAAGACACAGGTTGTTTTCTCCCTACACTAAGATCACTTCTGTGTGACTAAGCTACTATCTAAACTAGTTTCTGTTATTATTTATGATTATTCCCTTGGGTTCCGAGTGGAACACAGGGCTGCAACAGAATATCTTCACCCCACGACTGCCCATAAACTTTCACCTCCTCCATGTCACTCTCGAACGCTCAATGAGTCGTTTCCCATTCGGATTCCACTCCAGTGCCTGGCGTGCAACATCACTCAATAATTTCCTCAGCATGCATCCTATCTACCTCTTTTTTCTTTGGAATATTTGTTGGACAGCATGTTCTTGATTAGTTCATTCCCAGAGTTTCTCGCTGCTCATGCTTTCTGGCCAGCCATCTGATCTTCAGGATGGATCGAATACGGCAGCTATCGATAAAAGTCTGCAGCCTGTTCTAAATGCTCTGGGTGACCTAACATTAGTGTTTCAAATACGAATCTTGTTCTTTGTTCTGAGTACATTAGATTTCCAAACTGATTTCATATCAATGAGGGTCTGCCTTATCTTCCCGATCCTGACTCGGATATCTTTATCCGTCCTACTTGTAGCTGAAATGGCGGTTGATAAATAAGTGGGAGAAACGACATTCAAATTTCTCCCGTTTTAGTTATTGTGGTGCTCGTTTTCGTTGGGGGTGGTTGGATATCTTCATCACCTCTGTCTTATCTGTGTTCACTTGAAGTCTTGTCTTCGCTGTTGCTTCTACCAAATTGTTGGTTTTCACCTGCTGATCTACGAGTTCATGTGACACTAGGCACAAATCATCTACGAATTCCAGGTCTTTTAGAGTCCTCCTACCTACCCAAAGTATTCTTATCTTCTTGCCTCCCCCACAGCCTGCGACACACACCAGTTCAGAGCAGTTAGGAATATCACCGGTGGTAATAAACAGCCTTATTACACTCCTGACTACATGCCAAAGACTTCTCTGAGATTTCTGTTGTGAATAACTTGACATCTAGGATCACCGTATAGATTTTGAGGTTGATAAATGTTTGGGTCAATCCAAAGTGTTGAAGTGATTTCCAAATTACTTCGCCGCCAATGCTGTTGAAGGCCTTTATCAAAGTCGATGAAGTTATGTTGAAGATTTGCTGCCATTCTAATCTCAACCTGGTTCGATGACGATACGTAGAGTTGCAATTTGATCCGCGCATGATCTGCTTTTCCTGAATCCAGCGTGTTTGAAATATAGAAAGTACGTTGAACTTCTCAACGGAAATTGCGTTTGATGACGAAAACCCTGTTTGGGAAAAAAAACTGCCTAATAAACTCTGGGTTTTCATTAATTGATTTACCCTATTACAAAACGCCCTGTGTCATTTTATTTTGATTGAAATTGCAAAGTTTATTTGAAATGTTTATTTAGGTGAGATATCTGGACGTCCTATTGGTTCTTGGACTCACTACAATAACATCGAGCCATATTGTGTAGTATCAGCAGCAGAAGGTCAAAAAATGTGCAATTTCCCAATTGATGATTTGAAACCGGATAGTGCATATGAGCTTGAACTATCTGGACAGAATTCAATGGGATTTTCTGAAACACAAAGAATCATATTTAGGACATCATCACTGACAGGTGTTAATGGACGCATACTAAATATGCCATCAACTATGCGACTAACAGGGATATCTAATCATATTCAATTAGAAAGTAATTTGATTATTTTTATTTCTGTCATGTTCTGCATTTCATTTCACTTTATAATGCATTTATATTACAATTATTGAAAAACGAATCCTAAATCTTATACATATAAAAGTTAACTTAGGAAAATTTTCCGATAATTAAAGTATTTTTATCAACTGTTCATTTCTTTTCAACATGAAATATTGGTTTTGATCTCATTTGAGACGAATTACGCCAAATTTTCAATTCAAAAACTCTCAACTTCACTTTCTCATCTTCTTTATCTTCTTGTGATACACATGAAAACATTCTTCATAGTAAAATCCCTTCAAAATATTTATATTTCTGCGTTGTTCAAATAACATCAAGATACTTTCAATATCCTATACCTTAATTTATTTTCCTCGCCTCATATTAGATCGATAAATTCATTAACAGTGATATCATATTTCTCATTTACCCTATGTGACATTTAACCTCAACTATGAAAACTATGCTATCTTGTCATTTGTCTATTGTACTTATCTACTTCCTTAATTTTAAGAAACTTATTCAGAAATATCATTATTCTTTTAGTGTTGTCGTCAGAGACATTGTGATAAAAAAACCTCATGTGAAATTACGTACATTCCTCATTTTTAACATGTTATTTATTCTCACTATATATACCACTTATTATTTCATGTAGTAGATGAATGTGACTGTTTTATGTTCCCCCAAAAGTTTTATTATCCTTAATATTACTATTATTTACTTTCGATTTTAGTCATATTAACAACGACTACTATCATGAATAAATTCACAGACTATTTACAGATTATGAGTTGATTTAGTTTCCAGAAGATACATATACATCAATAATAATAATTCTAAGTGTAGTAGTTGGAATAGTCAGGTGAGTTAGAGGGGAGAGAATGTAAAGAAGTAAAACGACGAATTTAGATGTCTACCCATGAATTGTTTATGGGATTTTAAGAGGATACGCCATTTGGACGCAGTCCTTGTATTGCTACCTGGTTGTCAAGCCTTCTTTTAAATTTGTCCACAGACAGTGCCGTAGCTACATCTTCCAGTAAGGAGTTCCAGGGAAGGCCAACACACAGTGAAAAGAAGTGGGAGTGGACCCGACTCTTTGCCCTCTGGTGAGCTGTCCTCCTGGGATTTCCACGAGGAAGCCCATACCTACTTAACTGCAGAATACCTTTCTTTGGGTGATTCCTGTAATTTGTTATCTTACGGGCGGTAATCCGGTACTCTCTAAGCCGACGGAAGTTAAGTCTGAATAAGCCTAATTTCCTTAGCCATTCATCATATGGTTTATTTCGCAAACCCACCACTCCTTTTGTCGCCCGTGTTTTTAGTCTTTCCAAGGGTTTGCGTCTCTTCTAGGCGGTGGGAGTGCGACGATATTGTGCACTTCAGGGTGTGATCCGACGTATTTTTCGAGCAACCTCAGAAAGAGCTTAGGACTGATTGCACCTAAACGTCTATGTTTAAAGTGTATGACAGCATATTCCCTCGCTACATCCTCTGTACGATTCAAGCTTGTGTCCATTTTTTCCGTTAAGACTAGACCTAACTCACACTCCGACATTATGCAGGACAACCTTTCGTTGCACAGGGTGTGACTGGCATTCTGTAGCCTACAGGTGGGCAGTTTCTCTAGTTTTCACTTTTCCAGATTGAAAGTCATGCCATTGGCCATAGAAAGACCAAATGGATTGGAATATTCATATCCCACCATGATACCCAATCGTCCCAAGCTGATAATAGGTTTGTTACAAAGGATCTGCCCTTCCTGAAACTATGTTGGTCTACATGGTGTCTATTAGTCCTATTGAGGTGCTCCCTAATGTGATCATCAATAATACTCTCCAGTACTTTTCATGCCGCTGGGAGTAGGGCTACTGGCTCATAACTACTGGCATTTCACCTTTCCCTACCTTTGAAAATAGGCGAGAATGGCTCTTTTCCACACCCCTGGCAGTTTCCCGAATCAGTCGAGTGTTGGAACAATCACCTAATAAACTATAGAGAGTTTCGAAGCACTGTTTCAGAACAGATAGCCTTATGTCGTCACAACCTGGGGACTTTTCAGATGTGAGTCTCTGTGGCTTCCTTAGTAATATTGCTGGGTTTATTTGTGGATTAGCCACTAGATTTTCCTCCAGCGAAGTAGTAGCGCCGCCATTTTGGTCCGCACCAGTAATACCCACAGTGCTGTTTTACTGTTTATCGAGAGCTAAACTGAATATTTTGGCCACCCCATACTAGTGAGGTATTGACTATTTGGACCTGCCCCCTGGTTGGTTGGTTTTATCTCCAACATGACTTGGTACAAGCTTTTGGGGTTGGGTAGGAGTTTCTCCGCAATGTTAGTCTGAAATCACCTCCTGTCACTCCTGACTCTTACGTTGTACCATTTAATAAGTTCCAGGTATGCATTGTGGTCGGTCTGACTCTTGGATACCCGCCACGTAGACCAAGCCTTTCTCTCTGCTCGCAGAATACGTCGAGTACCTCTCTTCAGCCATGACGAACATTTTTCGGTTGTACTGTGACTAAAGAGACGGTATGCGAGGTTGTTGTGTGAATAATCTCTTTTATCACCCTCAAGTGTTCATCCACAGATAACCCATGTCATTCTATGGGCCACTCTGCGTCGGAGAAAAGCCTCCACATATCAGCAAAGTCCACCTTGTTATACCACGGACATGATGGGACATGGTAGTGTCCTACTGCAAGTGCTCACGGAGAACAAGATGGAACCCTATGACTGCATGATCACCACTTCCTAGTGGGATCATGATACGGACCTATCCGACGAGTGGTTGGTCACTAGCTAGAACACAATTTAGTTTCCATAACCTAGTGTCGTCTCCAACACTCTCAGTCAGTCCTGTATTTCTAATGGTTTGCAGTAGATTTCGACTGAATTTTTCCTGGGCTTACCCCGAGCCAAGGTTCAGGAATTGGGCATTGGAATCTCCAGCTGTGACGATTCAGTCACAGCCCAGGTCTCGTATCCCTGTGATGGTGCTGAGCTGTATCTGGTTGTGCTCCGCCCCACAGGTAGGTGATCGGTAGATGCCACCCAGCAAATGCCTGGTGTGGCCACGGTGAAATGACACCATATGGAGTCTGGGGGTTCATTAAGTGGTGCGTCCATTGCACGCACACATTTAAGTTGCTTACCAAAGTATATGGCAACTTCCCCTTCCTATTTATCCGTGTCTGTCCTGACCAGAATCATAACACTTATGCTGATTTCACTGCCGGCGATAGTGAGGGTTAGCCAGGTTTCAGTGAAGATGATTATTTCGAGGTGTGGGTGTGAGTGGAGATTTCTGAGTTCATCTACTCTCCCTTTCAGCCCTCTGGCATTGTTATAAAGGCGGCTGACAGTGAGTTTCAAAACCTTAGTGTGTTGTGGAGTAGTTGACGTTACGTTGCCTGCTGGCAGGGAACTTCATATTGGGAGTAGTTAGCCGATTCTGATGGAATCGGTCCGTTGTCGTATTTTTTCCTTGAAATTGGGTAGGACACTTGGGTGACACTCTCAGTCCCGCATCGGTGTAGTGCCACTGAGGCTCGGAGACGTAGTAAGACCTCTGTTTGCTGACTATATATGGTTCGAGGTCTACTTCCGCAGCATCGCACGTATTCTCCCAATTTACCCTTGGTCTCGTACAACCGTTGAAGTACTATATCCAACTGTTTCTGATAGTTGAATTTAGTCACTGGAACCCATCCCAGTGGCCCATAAATTCCAACTTCTGCCAATTCACGAAGTAGCACGACCACTAGTCAATGTCATATTTTCACACCCGACGTGCTTCATAAATGTCCATTCATTTTCGCTTCCTCCCTGTCACGGCCGACAAGTAGTATCTCATTCGCGGACAGCACGGGGTCCGCACGCGTAATGTTACTCGGTTTCCTAAGCTTGTGTTCAACTTCTTTATGCATATTCGTTTGGTTAATTAGTCCTCAAGTGGTTTGCCACCTCCTATAATCCGCCGTTATTCGTCCTTCTCCGGCCATATCACCTTTAACGTTGATTGAAAAATATGCTGAAGAAAGTCTGTCGCGACGCATGGTCCTATTCTGTCTGCCATATAGGAGTTCTGTCACGATGATACAGCTGAACATTTATTTTTGTGGCAACTCCTGTAGGTCTGCACACTGATTTCAGAATAATTCGCGTGCGTACTTATGTTTTCCATTGGGGTAAGACACAGATCGCGCTTTGATGTTAGACAGACTGTGCTAGACACAGAGACTGTGAGTCACTTTGTTGTCTTAGAGGCTGACGTTATTAACGTTCATGAATTGTACGGAGTATAATAACACAAGAATTAATACCTATATCTATAGTGTCCGTTCCGTGTAGACCAAAGGCAAAGCAAAATAATAATTGATCGTCCAAATTACGAGATATATTTCGGGACTGAATCGGAGTGAGAGGTAATTGCTTAGCTGGCTAGTGATCGTGCATGGACATGACACGACGGAGTACCAAATGGGGAGGATGCTTGACCGGAAGCCTTCAGGTAAGTAAGTTGACTTAAACAGTGAGGGTCAGCATCCAATGTTCACTGATGATTCCTATGGTCAATAATTTTGGGAATTATTTACCGCTACAGCTCACTTCCCTCCTAGTGGAGTTGTGAGGACCCTAAGACAGAACCAGTCGGAGTTATAAAACCCACCGGCTCTCCATCGTTAAAAATCTCTTCCGAGCGGCCTGATTGAGTGCCCACTGGTCGTCTACTTATGCCAATAATGTGTCTGTACATCGCCCCGTTGATGTTTTCCCGTTGGATCTCGTGCTTCGTTTGCTTCTTGTTCAGTGCCCGTCGCACCTGGATAAGAAAACGAGAATGCTAAGAACCTTGTTGAGGAAGGTGTACCAAATATAACGATTGAAAAATGATATGCATCTACCATAGAGTAAAATAATCCGAAAATTAGAACATCAAAAATACAGCATATATCTAATATTTTCAGTGCATGCAACATATACGGTTATAGAAAAGATTTTACCTGTGTTTCGGGATTCAGTGTAAAAACTGATGTGTCTGAGAGGAAAAAATGATGAATACCACAAACGAATAAGAGTTGGTTGAATCGAATCGCTTAGTTATGTGATATAAGTGTGAAGATATTCTAGGAATCTCACATTACGCCCAGAACGCGTTTTGTTTGAGGGCTCGACAGAAGGTTCGCCGTGCTAGTGAGTTTTTCGAGGAATAAGGGATATTCTAATACTCGTTTATTACCAAGGACGCTAAGCTCTAGGCTAATAAGATGACCTTTTAAGTAAACCGGTTTCATACGGTCGATGCTGACGGTGTCCTCGCGGCCTTTTTTTGCCTAAGAAAAAATTTATGC